TAGTGCCATTAGTAATGTCCTACCTTGCAGAGGAGGTGACCATTATTCTTCACATGAAAATGTCAAAACAACAACAAGTACATGACACCACCACCATCAACACCACCACGACGCACTGTTTATTTTTTTTGCAATTTAGTGAGCCATTCAGTGGCACCCGTAATATTACTGGTGCTAATTGAAATGTCATTGCGGTGTAAAGGTCAAATAGTGAGTAAAAACAGTGAAAAGGCAAAGATAGATGTTTGTAATAAGTGCAGAGAAGATGTTCAGCAGAGGGCACTGAGTGTGCAGCTTGTTATTTCAGCCGTTCACTCCTGCATGAGATTTCACTGATTAGTTCCTCTTATCTGGGTGGAGGTGTATTGATTTGTGAGGAAGACTACGAGCAATCTGTTGGTCCTGTAAGACTCAAGATTGACTATATCTGCTTTAGACTTTTAAAAACTATCTATAACAAGAGCCTGATCCTTCCACAACTGTGCTCCAAAACAACAAACACATGATCCCTTATTATAAACTTAAATAAGCTTTTTATAGAGTTTCACTTTTCCAACATTTCACATTCTTCTTCAGAAAGTTTAGGGCATTAAATTATACCACTAAATGTAATTAATTAAATCAGTAGTTACCAGTCATTTCTTTTTTACTAGACTGTTAGTCTCTAGGGTACAGCTCTGTTAGGACATGGGATCGTTCGCCAAAGCATGAAAAAATTAGGCCCCAATATGCAATCATATACTTCCACCAAGTAAACAAATTACAAGAATATCTTAATCACAAAACAGAGACAAAAATGTCTCCCCCCCAATATATTTTTGTGATGCATTACTTACCCAAAAGTATGCCTCCTCCATGGAACAGAAGTTCACAACTCATCTCTCCTCTGTACTTGTGTTGCTGGGGAAGAACAGAGGAGTGTGTTATGACTAACCATGTCGGCCTGGCAAGTGTGTATTACGTCAAAAAGTCACACACTCATCATCAGCAGCCTTCTGTACCAGCTGAATGTGCATTCAGTCAAAAGTATGGCTGTAAAGACTACTCATTACCTTGGAACAGTTTGACACCAAAGCTGTGTCTTTGTTTAACAATGCACAGTAGAGACTTACAGTACATCTTAACAAGCAGGGTGTGAAGGGACCATTAATCGAAGCACTGGTGCACAAAGCGATGCTGTCATCCCCTTCGCCTAACAATGTGTGCCTAAAATGAATGTCACAAGTAAGATAAGTCTCACTTGTTTTTTGAACAAAACAACCAATTGGCTGCTTAAATGTTTCTATTTTCAGTTATTCAGTTATCTGCTACAAACTCAAACAATATGTACTACTGCCTTCTAGTCTGTTAGCATCATACTAATGCAGATCATCTCCACATTACAGGACTTCATCAATCACATTTCTGGGGTCTGAACTAGGCTGTGGACCTCAATCAGACCGTATATAGAATCTAACAACAACAACATACGTTCATTTCTTATACAGCTACATAGTTAATGTTATTTGACCACATAGACAACGTATTGCAGGTTATTTACATTTCTGTGCCCCTTATTGCTAGCTGGTGAGCTCAGCCATTGGATAGACTGAAGAGCTGAAATGCATTTTCAGGCAGTTGACTTTAGTATGACCATTGAGCTCATGACCCATTGTTAAAAATAATGGCCCATTTTGGTTATTTCTCACATGCACAAAATTGCATTCCATGAATTTGAATGCATTACGCACTCAATGTGAAGTCTCATAAGAATTATAATTGATAGCATGTGGTTTCGAACACAGCCACTCTCCGTATTTCATGAAAAGATGGAAGCTGCTGGTTTAAACCAGTCACAGCAGGTGCAGTAAGACATTAATTGTGGCATTGTTACATTTTTAAGATTCATTGTTGTGTATGCTAGCACCGAATTGGCATTCACAATAAGGCCCAAGCTTTCTGTGGGAAATGGCTTTTAAAGCCCTTTGGAAATATGTTTTATTTATTAAAAGGAATATTCTGGCATTAAGGAAAATGCACTGTTTCATACCGAGTTAAAAGGTGAGATAATCTCTGATGTTAGAAGCAGTTTCTTTAAATGTTTAGTCAAGTTAAACTGAGCTAAGTGATCCATTTCTAAATAAACCATAAGTGAAGATAAGCATGCTCTTTTAAGTACTTTCATGGTATTACTTGCTTTCCGAGCAGATGGATCAAGTTTGGGATGAGTCACATATTGGCTTTCTTGCCAGTTATGTGTGGTACTGTTATAAATGCTTTATGGCCTCCTCAACCCCCTTCCAATGAAGTGTGTGTTAAATACAAATTTGAGGATTTTGTTGTCTTTGTACAAAGGCTTTCTCCTGCCATAACTTTAATGTTAAGCTAACCTAACCAGCTGCTGTGTGTAGCTACATGTTGACATGTTATGTAGACGAGTAGTATCAGTCTTTTCATCTCAGCTCTTGGCAGGATGACCAATAAGCATATTTCTAAAATGAAAACACAACATTTTACTTAATGGACCAGTAGAAATCAGCATAATTGTCCACAATGTCCATCTTGTATATCGATATTTTCATGTAACTACCAACTGCTAGAACAGATTTTTCAAAATATGTGCTTAATAAAAACATCAAGTGATATATCAGACCACAAAGCTAGGTAATACAAACAAATAACAACTACCCTATGAGCTAAAGCTTCTTTTGAACCTGGTCTGTTTTCTTATCGCCAAAATATGCCACGTTGGAATTGGTGGCAAACTGGTGCAACAGGCTGCAGTCTTCCCAGCAGGCCTCTTTCACTGTGCCTCCATACACTAATGAAGAACAGCCTCAGGCCAGGCTGGAGGCTCAAGGTTACGTACCTGTGATGTATCCACAGAAAGAAATCAGCAGAACCCATCTTAGAGAGATAAACAGTACTCAGCTCTGCTGGATGGAGGCTGACTCACTGGCAGGGTCTGTGGTGATGTCTGCTGTTCCTTGGCCACAGCTTAAGCTCTGTTTTTCTGATTTCTAATCTGCTGTGGAAGTGTTGCTGTGTGAAAAATCTCTAAAAAAGACCTGGTTCGAGGAGAAATCGTTTCGAGTCACAAATGTCAGAGCCTGTTCGCACCTTCTCATCGTACATTGCGCGGTAGTGTTTTTGTCAGTGGACAGCAGTGACCTTGATACATGACCTACAGAAAGCAAAGAAAAAAAGAAACATCCAATCTAATGTCTCTGTTTTCTGTGCTGGAATGTCCACTTCACATCCAACAGATTACATCAAAACACCATGAGGCAACTCAACAATCAATTTGAATTATCTTTTCATTTATATTAGCCTCTGAAAATGTATTAATCAACATTTGTTTCCCTCCACTTTGCACTAATTAACTGTCATATCTCTCCACTCGTCAGCTTTCAAAATAACAAGCCATGAGATGTAAAGTCATTCTTGCTCTTGTTGCTGGCTCACTAGATATCTTAGTTGCCTGTAAAATGAGTTGCATTTCATTTTCATACTTTAGTAGCAGAGGCGATACCTAGTGCTGTTAATTATTCATGTGTCAGTAATGTGCGCAGCTGGTCTCCTCTCAAACAGCGAGAGGGAGGAGAACACTGAATTGAGCTCCATTCAGACATTGGAGTTAAGTCATGAATGCAGATAGAGCGGTGTCTGTTTATATTGATGTCTAAGGTCTGCATCATTTTTGTGATGTGTTTTTTATATCATACCAATATGTTCATGCCTAGAGGGAAATAATGTTGGTCCACCACTTTGGTCCAGATGGAAATACTGATTTTGGCATTCTCCGATTTTCCCAATTGCGCCAATATGAGGGTCAATTTTTTTTTTTTTTTGTAAATGCATGTCTAGGCAGCTATTTTACAGATATTTTGTATTTATATTTGTGGTCCCCAGAGGATAAGTCTTTAGGGGTAATCCTTTCACTTTTCCTGTGGCTCCACCAACAGCTCATATCTTTAAATATCCAGTCAAATATTTCACATTTACTGAAGAGATTTTGTTGCAAAAAAAATTGAACATTCATAGTTCCCATAGGATGAATCTTGAGCTCCTGTTTTTTCTTCTGGTTCAATCAGAAGTCTTTCCCAGTATTGTTTTATCTAGCCTATAGCATTGTCCATTAGTCAACTGTTAGATGGAATGCCAAGGAAGTCAGTACAAATATGAATATCCAACTAATCAGGATAATCACTTTGATTATCACTGAACTTTTTATCCAGCAATGTCATTAAGTTAAAATTTAAATGTTTCTAATACTGAGTTGTACTTGTGTTTAATGCTAGCAGTGCTTAGCAAATGCTACTGTGTCAGTTTGTTAAAATAAGATACTAGCTACTGTTAGCATTAATCTTAAAGCCCCACTGTTACAAAGTTAAACCCAAATCCTATCTAGCAGTGCTGTTGATTCATCATATTAAATCAATATACCTTTTAAGAATATGGATCACAATCGATTTTATTTTATTTTTATTTTTTAAATTCAGACAATATAGTTTTTAACTTTTTTTTTCTACAGCTGGTATGCCTGATGTTTTTAAACCAAAAGTCAAAATCTTTAGCTTTAGCTCCTCCCACATAACCCAGACTCTCATCAGCCCCAAAGTCAGTAAAACATCAAGTAATGTGAATGCTGAACTGTTCTTTATGCGTTACATTAACACCCACTGGACATGCACTCTGTGAGTAGTTACACACGCTAAGATTTATTTTTCTCATAGTCCACTGCACAGCTCCTACATTGCACCTTTTGTAATTTTTTTATATTTTATATTTTACATTTTTAAATTCTATTTTATGTATTGTAATAGCTTCTCATACTGTATTATTTAAGTTGTTGCTAGTTCTGCTTTATTTCCTTGTTAATTGTTTAGCACCAATACACCAAGTCAAATTCCTTGTATGTGTAAATGTACTTGGCAATAACCCCCGATTCTGATTCTGATTCTGAAAAGATTAAGACTTCAAGATGTCCTTTGACTCTATCTTGTCTGTTTCCTTCCCAGGTATACTTGTGTCCACAGAAGCGGCCCGTGTAGAGGAGCATGTTGTGACAGCCATGTCTCTGGAGATGGAGAAGACCATCACCAAGCTGTTGTATGACTTCCAAAGGAACTCCACTTCTGACGATGACTCTGGATGTGCACTGGAGGAGTACGTCTGGGTTCCTCCTGGCCTCAGTCCTGAGCAGGTAAATAATATTCACAAACAAAATTCAGCTTGCTTATGCAACACTTTCCTGTCACTGCTCATTGCTCCATTAGCTGAAGCTTTGCTTTTTTGTGATCCAGCATAGTCAGACCATATCAAATTCTGGTCAGAAGAATTAATTTATTCAGGATAAAGTGTCAGTGGCATTTTCCTGTTAATCCTGAGATGGAAAATGAACCAATTTTAAAATGAGACGTGGAATCATTATTGGGGTTTTTATCCCTTCATGGGGATTTAACCTTTTTATAAAGTAGAAGGGGAAGTACAGAATGTTATATAAGTCTGCTGTCAGGCTTTCCATGGAGGAAACAATTGTCAGGACATTTTCAGCTGCCATTGTAAAAGCTGATATTGTGTGGGAACAAGTTCTGAGTCACATGGAAAGACAACCAAAAATAAGATCATGTGAAGTAACAGAAGCCTGATTATATTGAAAAACGTAAATGTGGCCTGAATCATTTTATCAGTTGACAAAAAAAAACTTTTTCTGCTTTTGGATGAAGACCCTAATACAGAGACAAAAAAAAATCCCCAGAGGAAAAACAAATCTATTCCCACCCTATTAAGATTTATTTTTATATTTTTCTATTGATTTATATTGGGATTCATATATATCAATTTTCAACATATACTGTAACTCTATAGAATAAGAGAAAGGGTCACTTTGGTGCTGTTAACAAACCAGAGTAATGAAGCCTTTCGTTTAGGAAGCCTCAGTTTCTTCCGTGTGTTGGTGCATCTTTGCTATTTTAAACCCAAAGGAATGAAAGTAATTGAGTCGGTGAATGTTTGGATGAATTTAATTGGAAATGTTTTTGTTTGCATCCAGGTTTCACTATTCCCTGTCTGGACTAATTTGCAGTTTAAACGCCTTTTAATTGCATGCATGACCAAGCTAATGTAATTAATTGTGCACATCCCGATATCCACTATTTGTTTTTTGTTCATTTTTTCCCTCTGTTTTTATTTTTGATTTACTATTTATTTTGCAGTTCTAGCATAAGATATATATGCATTTCTGTACAACGAGATTTTGGATGAACAAAAGAGCTGTCTTTATTAAGTAAGGGCAGCACTCTAATACAACAGGCCTCCTAGGGTTCCGTTCACAGATGACAGGTCATGCTGATAACAGTCATTTTCTCCAGTCAGCCATCTTGACAGGCTGCTGAAAGAGGCTGCGAGCTTTCTGATCCAACAAGGGGTGCAGGCAATTGTAACTGTCTGTTGTTGTTTTTTTTATATACACTTGAATGTGATGATTTTTAAGCCTGTCACTGGGTTTGTTTCTGCAGAATGTCATTAATGGGACTCACATTGACATGGCTTCATGTTGCACAGTTCATGAAGCTGTCAGATGTGAAAAAAATCACAAGTTTGAACTACATTTCCTGGAACTTAGGGTTCATATTTGCTGGCATTGCCTTTTTGACATGTTTATTCCCCAAATTTCTGACGTAAATGTTCCTGACTGTGGTGCCTATGGGTGAACTATGGACTACTCATGACCTCTGACCTCATTTCTTACAGATACACTCACTGTATTCATTAAAGATACATCAAACTCGGGCACATTTTTCTCTTTGTCCTACTCTTTTTAAAGCCTCATATGTTTAAACTGTGAACAAAGATTCAATTAAGCAGCCACAATTTTAGTTCATCATCTTCAAATCAGAAGTACCACACATTACCTTGCGAATTCTAGCTGGTTTTCTCAGATGGAAGATAATTTAGTAGCGTCAGATTTGTAACCTTTTATCAAATCAAATAATAATATTGGAAAATTATCTCTACAGAATGGCCAGTTTTTGCAGAATTGTAGACAAAGAATGCAGAATGCTGCATCAGAGTGAAAACTCTTTCACTTTTAAAGCTTACTTGTGTTAAGCTTTCCTTATCTGATTTGAGATTCTGAAAATAAGTTCATCATCTCAAATAACTGAAAATATGCCTGCAGTTTGGTGTCGCCCTCCATAGCATAGAATTAAACAAGAGGGTGGGTCATAGAGAGCATGAGGGGCAGCACTTAGAGAGACATATTTCCTCTTTCGCTCACTCTCCACCCCACCGATTATGGAAATTGGATCTCAACAACTTGAACAGAATAGATCTTTACACCACGCCGAAAGCTAGCTCACTTTGTTTCAAAGGCTGTTTCGCTGAAAATCACAGACAAGTGACAAGATTGCTTTCTGTTGTTTGAGTGTTTACCAATCAGGGTTTCCTCGTTTTCACCCGCTAACATGCAAATAGAAAGGGAGGCTCAGTCCAGTGCGACAAGGGGCTTCTGCATCATGAATTCTAATGTCAATACAAGTATGGGTAACTGAGATTTCCTCAAAGCATTGTGAATATTAGCTGTTTAAATTTTTAAGAACCTGATGCTGTTCAAGGATGAGTGTCTGCAGCAGCAGCACAGAGCACATTGTAAATCCCAGACACCAATTTCCAAGGGCAGAGATATTGAAGGGTAGAGGCAAAACAAATTCTATTTGCTTGAAGACCATGATGAATTAATTTAAAAGTAATTTCAGATTAATTTAGGTGGGTCTGTCACAATGAATTAATGGAATACGGTAGATAATGTAACCAACCAACAAAGTCCTGCAACCAATACAACAACAAAGGTCGATTGTTCCCCTGAAAGTCAATGAAATGGTTTTATTATAAACAAAACACTAACTAAAATACTTTCATATTTTAAGAGCCTAAAAATTATGAAAGTAGGACCGTATCACAATTTCTTCTTCTTTTATAACATGCACTTTGCATCGTCATAGTTTCCAAAGTGTTGCCATGTTGGTTATAAACATGTTAGGCATTTAGAGAGCACAACTGCTGATTCAGGGAAGAGTTTTTTAATAGGGCAGAAAAAGTCACCTGTTGGACAAACTCTGATCTGTTATCATGGTCAAACATGAGAGACAATGTTTGCATTGTGGAAGTCTTACACCAAAAAGTAAACTTTTTGAACACATATTGGTCCTGGTTTTCATAATCAGTCCATGCTGGCATTCATCTAGTGGCCAGAAAAAAACAATTTGAAATGACGGCTTCACATCTGCTGGGTGTAGAAATTGAGAACTGTTCTCTAAAATGTGAAATACCAGATCAAATTCATTCTGTCACAGTATGCTATTGTTGATTAAAAGTCGTTTCCACTTCCCAAAGCTTTTATACTTAAAGGCAGTACTGGAACTTTATGTTTGTTGGTGTTTTTGCAGGTGCATCAGTATTATAACTCCTTACCAGAAGAGAAGGTCCCCTACATAAACAGCCCTGGAGAGAAGCACCGCATCAAACAATTGCTGCATCAGTTGCCGCCACATGACAATGAGGTAAATAAACACAGCAATTCCCACTCAGTTTCTCTATGTGGGTGTAAAATCCAGCAGCCAGGAAGCGTCCCAGGTTTTAATGCCGATGCCTGATGATGAATCATGTTCGTTCAGGTGCGTTATTGTAACGCGTTGGATGAGGACGAGAAACGAGAGCTGAAGCTCTTCAGCAACCAGCGGAAAAAGGACAACTTGGGAAGAGGCAACGTTCGTCCTTTCCCTCTCACCATCAATGGGGCCATTTGTGACAAGGTAAAATCTGCAACTACCCTTCTATCCTCTTATGCACTCTCATCCTCCATTTGGCACATAGTTTATATCAATGAGCCTTTTGAGAATGTAACTTCCTCTTTTTTTTTACTGTAAACTCAGCCTATTTTATTTTACATTCTTGGTTTTGCTTGCACGGGCTCTTTTTGACGTTTCATAGGATAGATGAGACTGATAAGAAAACATTTCAATCTTAAAAAGATAACAGGGATTTCAAGTGGCATCTTCTTAGTCTCCCTCTTCACTTCTTAGTTTGTATCGATCTTTTTCTCTGCCTCTTCTTCCTCCTCTACATTATCCCTTTTCTGCTGTTTTCTTCTCTCCTCGCCTTCCCCTTTCTCTGCTCCTGTACAGTGTGGGGGTCAAATAAACGGAGGGGACATTGTGGTCTTTGCAGCACGGGCAGGTCATGGACAATGCTGGCACCCCCATTGCTTTGTTTGTGGCATGTGTGAGGAACTATTGGTGGATCTCATCTACTTCTACCAGGACGGAAAGATCTTCTGTGGCCGGCACCATGCTGAGAGGCAGAAGCCTCGCTGCTGCGCCTGTGATGAGGTGCAACTGCCTAAGCCTTGAGCTCTCAGGGTTTGAAATGGCTGAATGGTTCATAGCTCAGAGACTTGGACTTGGTTTAATCTGATCTGAGAGAAAATATGTCTCAGCTTTCATGCTGTTTCTCAAAAAGTATGCTTGTTATCTAATCATAATGTGTGACAAGCAGGCCAGAGATAATAATAAAAACTCTGGCCAATGTGTTCAGCACTAAATGAAGTCTTGTATCTTTAGTTTAAATATAAAACAGTTTAGTAGGTTAATAGTAGATCTGTCAAGGACTTGCACAGGGGGTATATAGTGAAGTTATTTTAAATGCAATAATACCATTTTCTATATGTAAGTAATAAAGAAATGACTTAATTCTAGAGTCCTTAGGTTAAAAGGATAAGAACTACTGTCCAAGAGAAACCTTAAAAAGATTATGAAATAATAATGAACCAAGCATGACGGTTGAAGCTCCCCAAGAATAATCACTCACTTAACATTTACTCATGACCTCAGTTCAACTTCATGGACTCTCTGAGTATCTTTGCTGATCAGTGTGATGTTTGGGTCACGCAGATAATCTTTGCTGATGAATGCACTGAGGCAGAGGGCCGGCACTGGCACATGAAGCACTTCTGTTGCTACGAGTGTGCGACCACTCTCGGCGGTCAGCGCTACATCATGAAGGACGGGCGGCCACACTGCTGCAACTGCTTCGAGTCCCTTTACGCAGAGTACTGTGACGCATGTGGAGAGCACATAGGTAAGGCACACTCAGCGTTCATCATTGCTGGGGGAAGTCCTCTTAACATACATTAACTGTAACCGAAACACACTGACATGTTTTTTTCTAACACTGACAGCCATTTATTGTAAATGTGGGTGTTATCAGCTCTGTGGGCCACAGCTGTGGAGAGGTGGAGTCAGTGCAGTGAGATGTGGAATGTTATTATCATACCAAGCTCTGGTAACAGTGAAAGAGTGTATTTCAGTGGATGCTCCCATGTTGTATCCAGATGGGGGCCGTGAAAGATGATTACCTCCTCTAGCTGGGGAGCAGAGTTGATGAAATATATTTTCACTATCTTGCAAACCTAGTGGTCAAGGCTTGGCTTACAATCGCACAATTCCTTCATAGGATAAAAAAAAGCCATGTTTATGCATTTGTTATTTCAGCTTTATGGGCATATCTAAAAAAAAGGAACTTGCTGTGGGTGAAATTATTACCTAAGCGGACCTAATAGAATATCACTTTTACAGCAGTGTCAGAGAGAGCTGCCATCACATCAGCATAACTAAGCTGTTAAAGTGAGACCCTCAGTGTATTAAATAATTAAGTTGTTTCTGGTACATTTTAAAAATAAATGTCTGTTTTTTTTTTCATATTACCAAAGGTATTGACCAAGGCCAAATGACGTATGATGGTCAGCACTGGCACGCAACTGAGGAATGTTTTTGCTGTGCTCGTTGCAAGCGCTCCTTGCTGGGCCGCCCCTTCCTGCCAAAGCAGGGTCAGATCTTCTGCTCACGTTCCTGCAGTGCCGGGCAGGTGGGTTAAAAAAAATTTAAAAAAAAAAAAACGCCAAAAAAAAAGTATTGATTTTTTTTTGGAGTAAAAGATACGAGCACTCAAACAAACATCAAATATCATTTAAATCAGTGTGTTTCATTTTAACCGATCAGGATCCAGATGAGTCCGATTCTTCAGACTCTGCCTTCCAAAGTGCCCGTTCTCGTGAATCACGCCACAGCACCAAGATTGGGAAAAAGGAGCGCAGAAATGCTGAGCAGGAGCGGAGGAGTGGGGAAGCACGCCAGTCGGCTCCTCCACCCATGCCCGACCGCCTGTCTGCTGAAAGTGATCCCCTCTCTGGACAGATGGACCGTTTGAGCCTCTCATCGAGCCAGACCCCGAGCAGGACACCTAACCGCACCCCCAGCCGCACTCCTAGCCGTGCCCCAAGCCTTAACCAGGTGTGGATGAGCCGGGATGAGCCCTATGTCCCTGCTGCATATGAGGGCCCCCAGCTGGCACCCTCCCCCACACCAGCACCTATACATATGCTGGGTCAGTGTAACCTCAGGCAGGGCTACAATCCCAACCCGAACTCTCATCCTCCAGCTCAGACTCCAGCAAACCCGGTGAAGAGGCCAGATTCCTGGGGAAAGGAACCAGGCAACGCCAAGAGGGCCCCTATGGCCGCTTTGAGGGGACACTCCTTTAATGAGAACTGGACCCATCACAGCCAGGATGAGTTCAGGCCCAATAAGCTACGCACCCAGATGAGCTTCAACGAGATGTCTAGCCAGGGTCAGGGCTTCTCTGACAAAAGGAGCATCAGCTTGCATGGATTCCAGAGAGATGGGAGACCCCCGCTGACCAGGAGGAACCCCATCAACGCCATGAGCTTCAATGAGCCCCTCACTCCTCTAGAACAGACTCCTCGTGGCTCAGTTGACTCCCTCACTGTGTCTAACGCTACAGGTAAAGTAATCTTAATGACAAGGGTATGATATGTCATGATATAATGCCAAATTGTATAAAAATTTGACGTCTAATTTATGGTTTTAACAGGTAACTCTCTGGATGGGGTCAGTAAGCGGCAGGAGCATTTGTCTCGGTTCTCTATGCCTGACCTGAGTAAAGACTCAGGTGTGAATGTGTCTGAAAAGAGCAACATGGGCACCCTGAGTTCCTCGGTCCAATTCCACAGTACAGAGTCGCTGTCCTCCTCTCGCCCTTACAACAATAACATGTACACACCTCTGAGGGTGGGCTACCCGCTGCAGTACTGGGATGGCCCGCAGCCACTCGGCTTTGATGGAAAAGGTCGTGTTGGGGTGATGGGCAGCAGTGGAAACCTGCGGATGGCACCAATGAGTGACAGAATGCCCCGCAGACGCATCAATGGACAAGAACCTGTGACGCAGCAACAGCAACCACAACCAAGACGGCGCAAACACCATCGTGGAAATCACGGAAATGGTCAGCACCGCAGTGGCCGCCACCACAAACGCTCTCGTCGCTCCCGCTCTGACAATGCCTTGCACCTTGTGGCGGACCGGCCTGCTCAGATGGTAGAACTGCCCTACCGTCGCGTCCAAGAGGATTACGATCGCTTCCCCTCTGGTAACGCCGCTCGGGAGTTTCTTGGTCTGGAGCCAGGAGGGTACAGACAGCCGCCTCACAGGCCTTGCCCCCGCACCACTTCAGATCTCACCCTGCAGAATGCTGGCTGGCAACCTGTGGGGATGGGTGGGCCATGCTGGGGTGACGGCTACATGGAGGCTGCTGACCCCTGGTGCTCCAGCTGCTCTTCTTCTTCTGAGTCAGAGGGAGATGAGGGTTATTTCCTCGGTGAACCAATCCCTCGGCCCGTGCAGCTTTGCTACCTCAACAACGAGGAGCTGCGCCATCGCTACACTCCCACTGGGATAGGTGGCCATCATGGACCTCTGCATGGACCGATTCATGGCCAGATGCACAACCGCCAGAGGAGGAAGAGCAAAAACTGCATAATTTCCTAGATTTAGAGCAAAGAGATGGCGAGGGATGAGTAGAGGAGTGAAAGAGATGAGAGAGAGAGAGGGTAAGGAGACAGATACAGGAACAGAGAGGTGGAACAGAGGGAGTGGGAAGGTGAGAGTGAGACAGTTGTCAGTGAGATTGAATATCGAGAGTGTGTCTGTGTATGTGTGTGTGTGTCGGGGTTGAAGAGAGAAAAAGCCTATTTTATGTGCTTGTGAGCTTACACAACTCACTCCGGGTAGTGTTTGTGTACACCTACACAGAATGATCTAATCATAAGAGGAAGCTCAGCTGGCTTACACAACAGAAATGTTTACAATGAAAGAAATCAACGCCTCTGATGGTACCAGGAAGCACTGATGAATTTGGCCACAAAGTTTGCGGTGGTCCAAGAAAATAAGATGTATGTGCGTGTCTTTGCGTGTCTTCATGAAAACAGAGAGAATGAACAATTCCTTTACAGTCTGATAAGGAAAGTAAAACTGATCAGACCACAGTGATCGGACCGTCCATGTCGCAGCTCAGTGATCCAAGCCCTGGGCAATAAAACGTATTCTATGTGGACAAACCAGAAATTGTGTTGGGATAGTGAAAGTTACGTGCTAGATTCCAAGCTATGTCATTGTTTACCTCAGTGGAATCCAAATGCTGCTGGAATATAGTGTTGGCTCGCTAGCCCCGTTATCACCTTGTACAAATAGTCTGTTGAACTTTGTGCTCTACATAGCCAGATCTCCATGCTTAACCAAGGACAGAGAGCCAGACAGCCTCTGCTCCTTGACCATTCAGGCACAGTAACGTCAGGTATGGTCCCGTTTTATCTTCTGCAACATGCTTTGTATTTTGAGAGTTACCTATAGATGAGTAAGAAATAATAATAACGCTAACAATAATAATAAAAATGCAAATAATAATTATAATAGTATTAAAGAATAATACCTGTTAAATGTATATATAATAATAAACTTAATAAAGTTATGGTTGTAGTAATGTAAATGTTATGTACATATTGTCTTAAATATTTATATATTTTGTAACTAAAGAATCATTATTTGTATAACATGATGTAGAGATAGGGAGACTTGCATGTTAATTTGTTGTTGTTGTCTCATACTGAAAATAAAGTGTACTTCAATGAATAACCAGAAAGTTGTCTCTATAAGTTCTACAGGGTTTAATGGAAGTTTGTAGCTCACCTGTTGGATCAGCTTGGTGACACATCAGCTGTGCCCAATGTCTATACGTTCACAACTTTCGAGCAGGTTTTGAGTATACAGTGTGTTTGTGCAGAAAGTCATCGAAGAGTACATTTAAAAAAAGAATTACAGATTTTTTTTAATATATATTACAGACTTATTTCAGACGTGTCACAGCAGGAAAGTACAGGTAAAAGGAATGTCATTGTTTGCTCAGGCCAATTATTGTCACAGTATGACATGCCATTGGGCCTGCACAATGTCAGCACTGGCTACCCTTAATGGGCAGCAGTTATATTTAATATGTTCCATTATATATGTGATGGTCCTGCCATGCCATGCTGTGAAAGTGGTCCATTGTACAAGTCAATGAACAAGGAAAATGGGGGCGCTACCCACAGTGGCAAAAGTGACTGACCACAGAGTACACCTGAGTCGAACAAGAATATCGTTAATTTTGTTGGCTCATAAATTAAGCATAGAATATATTAAAACTTTGAACTGCCAAGTAGCTTCAGAAAGAGTACAGAAATTACTCGAAAAGTTAGGGAAATGATCTATGAACAATCTTAGATGGCGCTAAACATCTATGTAAAGTCAGAATATTGATAATTACAGTAAACATTGGGTTGACATAAACATCAACCATTACACATACATTGATTTTTGGTCATTTTTGGTTTTTACATCAAAACCAAATATTAACTAGAAAAACATCCAACAATGTCAAAAACCCAACATTGGGTTGACGTCAAAACTAAAGTTGTGTGGGCACCGACCTTTAAATTGGACAGATTTTGAGGTTTAATTAGAAATAAAAATAAGGTTAATGATCATCAGCAGACATCGCTTGAATGTCAACAACCAACAATGGACAGAGGTGAAATTTATGTTGGAAGTTACAGTTTGATGAACACCATCAACCAACAGTGGACAAACGTTGTATAGTGGTTGTATGTAAAAATCAGGTTGAATATATACATGTTGAATCATGACCAGACCTTTTGTTGGCACCAAAGCCCAAAGTGGGTTTTCTTCAAACTAATCCATTGTTTTGATGACAGAGTCCAACAAAATCAAATGTTAACAATATTGACATCATCATGTATTTTTCTCTTTCATGTTTTTCAAAAACATACTGGTATAATTGTTATTCAAGGCTGTACTTTGGTAATTGAGCAGCTAACTACTATAAAGATTGGAGGCTCACATTGAAAAGTAACTAAACATTTAGTCAGAGGCAACAAAAACATCAGGTCCTTGTATTCTCTTTGTGCCACTGGATAACATATTCCTAATCCAAAAACCTGGTGACAATACAAGTACTTAAACCTTAAACTAACTATGTGGCCTTTCACCTACTGAACCATTGATGTGTTTTCTGCATTCACCTGATCATTTCCTGTCCTTCTAACGTTGAATAATTCACCACCAACATTTAGAAGTTCAGTACATGTTAAATGTGTTGTTAACAAAAGTTACATTTTTAAACAGCAAGTGCTTATAAATTAAGCATGTCAGAAGGATGTACATACATTTCTGACTTCCTCATAAAGAAACTTAGAGCAGTACAACAAGTGCATATAAGTATTTGTCATCACATTCACAAAATTAGAAAAAGTATCCAATGTTAAAATCACAATCAAAGTTTCCTTTTCATTTCTCACAAGTGTTGGTCAGTGCTCAACAAAAAAGGGTTCTTGGTCCAGGAAGCAACTAAGAAAGTAGAAGCTTATATTGTCGTCTAGGAAACATAAAAAAGCAGCACCAAATCATTAGCAATAAAGTACGTTTATCACACAGATCAATTATAGGAAGAGAGAACGAATGTGCGTGTGATTAGTGAGAAGGCTCCCTTGAGTCATATTCTTCGATAAATTTTTCCATGGCTTCCACACAGCGCTTGCCAATGTCCCTGAGGTTCTCCTGCAGCGACGACTGAATGGGACCCTCCAGGGACTGATCCTTTGCTATCAGCATCTTTGCAACAAGGCCAAACATTTCGCATTCCTGATAGTACACCTGTAGAACACACATGTTTGTCGTTAAAGGCCAAACGCATTAATAGTGAAGAGCGAGATAAAGCAGGAAAAACAGACAATCAGGAGAGAAAGTGGGAGCGCTGGAGAACAAAAGGAGCAGGGCACAACAAATGAGCTGAGTGAGAGGCCTTGTCATGCATTTCCAATTACCATGCTCATATGCAAAATATTCTCAAGTATTCGGTGTGCCTGTATGCAGAGTTCCATGGACATTTTTCTTTTTTTTTTTTTTGCATCATGTACCTGTTGCCAGACTGCCTTTTTCAGAGTGCCTCTCTAATCCTGAAACCATGGAGATATGAAAAGTAAGAGACCATCTTTTTCTGTCTAGTGGGTGGAAACACACACACAAACATACAGTACACTCTCACACAAACACACAGGCAATGAGCAGAGCCTCATGTGATGTCTGTCACATTGAAGACCGCATTAAAGCACGTGTTGGAGCCTCTTGTGATACAGGTGAGCGAGGATGAACAGACTCGGTTTGCATTTTTTGCTCAGCTATAAGACAGAAAAATTACACCACCGATCATGTCAAACTATGAATAAGGCCTTTTTTGTTGGGGACTACAAAGGGAAGACAATAATGACACTCAAGTCTCCTCAGGCTCAGCATTTCAAAATGAATGTTTAGTTGACAGAAAGCAAATCTTTTTTCCTGTCTCATGTCTCCCAGCACTTTCCAAGATCTTTCCTCTGTCACTCATTCTCTAATCCTACGCTCTCTTATCTCTCCTCTTCCCCTATCTGCTTATTACTAACCCTTCTCCCAAGATGAGTGTGTCTGTGTAATGCCACTCCTCTACCTCGTCTATTTCTCTTCTCTTCTGTTGGATGGCTCGGTCTCGTGCCATAGTCTGGCTTGCCGTCGAGGGGAGATCCCCGTCTCTGCTCCGTTCTCTCTCTCTGCTCCCGCTCCCCCTGTGATCTCTCTCCCTGCTTTGGTTCCTGTCGCCGTGGCAAACCTGCAAAAGGAAGAAAAAAAAACGAGACAAGAGTTGGACGGCGTTCATCAGACAGCTGGCCAATAACATGGGTGCAAACACTGATAATGACTGAGCTGCTAATGACTAAAGTGAAGATCCATATGTCTGCTTGTTACACAGAAGCAAGGGAATAATATACCAAGAATCTGTCCCAACTGCTTCTGTATTCATGTGCAAAACATGTCAACTATTGGGGTGGGTATGGGTGTTATCACTTCCTAATGTCATAATTTCAAAGAGCTATTGTAGGAGCAGGCCAACCAATTGCCACAGGTGGGATGAAGTAAGTTATTTGATATAAGTTCATTTAAAAAGTGAGTTAAACACGTCCATGTAAAGTAAAAACCCAACAACATACAACTCTTCCTCTCTTGACCTACATTTAGCATCTTTCAGCTCATTGCTTTGCTTTTAGAACCTGTAACTTTAGTGTCATGGTCCGCTCTCACGTCTTATGCAGTAGCTCAGTCTGTGAGGACCTGGGTTGGGAACCGGAGGGACACAGTGCGGACCAAAATTTGGAAATTGGTCTGGTAGCTGGAGAAGCGCCAGATCACTTCCTGAGCACTGCTGAGGTGTCCTAGAGTAAGGCACCACCCCCCCCCCCCTCCCTCCTCCCTCCCAACTCAGCAGTGCTTGCTGTGGGAAGCCCCCTCTCTCTGACATCTCTCCATTAGTGCATGTCCATAGGATCTTGCATGTGTGTATTTCAGCCTTTCAGTATTCAGCCTGTAACATGTCTCAATAACAGAAAATTTACTTTCCCCTTGCAGGATCAATAAAGTATTTCTTCTCCTCTAAATCACTGTTGTGTCCAGATACGAATAAGGTGTTTGATCAAAAAGCTAATAAAAAAAAAAAAAAGCTAAGTGTACACTCCTTGATTAGTGCAGACACACACAGGTAGCTACTTCCTGGTAACATAGTGAAGCATTTAGCTGCAGGGGAGCCAGATATTTTCCTCAGGGGTTGGCATCAGACAAAGACTGTAAATGGATACTTCGGGTATATTCTACCTGGCCTAAAACAAAACTCCAAATGAAGAGCCAATGTTCCTCTGTGTATTCTGGATGTGTAAATGGACATTTTAAGTCTATCTTGCTAGCTTCTTAGAGAGCAGTCTTCTGACTTTTTGTGGTGAATTGGGGAAGGCTGAATCAAGCTGCAAAAAAAAAAAAATACTGAGTCACCTTCTGTTAAGAATCCAAGTCTGAAGTTATAGAAGTTAATAAAGAATTAAAAAATAGGGGAATAGGTTTTTTACTGCTTAATTAGCGAATCAAAATGAAATGTAGTGCTAGCTCAGAAGGCAGTACTTCATCTACACAGCACAACTAAATATAGCACTAAGAATCTAAATTACTGCGTGAGTTAATGACTTACCCTGATGATTTTTTGGCTATTTGCATAATCCTAAATGTGTATGTATTTCTTATCAAGCTAGATGATTCAAAGCAGATTCATACTCAGTACTTTCTGAAATGATTCATTGTACTGAAAAGTTAAATAGGTCAGTGTTTCTGTTGTGCTAACGACACATAACTGAAGTGCAGAACAATGAAACATTAATTAGCAACATGCTTGAACTAATTATTTTTGTGTAGCATCAGTCCGTCTAATTGAAACCTTAATCATGGCTTAATAAAGTCCAGTATGTCTTTAGCTGCTTGCACAACAACACTGATAAGAACATTAATTATTATTATTAAGAATATTATTAAGCTTTGTTTTTTATTCTGTCTTTTGCGTTTCACTTTAAGCACACTGCAGCCGAGACCAGCTGTGATTCATCATGTGCTGCTCTGCCCCGCGTTGTGTTCAGGTCAGCCAAGAAATGTGTGCATCATCTGATTTCAGCTTTTCTGCAGCACCTGGGCTGTTTCCATTAAATCTCAGCCTGTACCCCCGTCTTTGAACTGATGTCTAATAAACAAACTAGAACAGCATCTTCTGTGTAGAAACAAATGAAAATGTTTTTTTCCGGTTGTACTTTTTCGCTGGAAAAATGGCCTTCAACAAAATCACCGTCATATTGAAATGTTTCATCTACTAATGAGAAGGAAATTACCACAAGCTCCCTGCCTAAAACAATGTTTGCACTATTTTGGAAGGGAAAAATGTCATATTGGGTCATTTGAAAAAGAATTGGTAAGCCCCCGCTGTGTAATTTTCCACATTTTATGGCAAAAACAAGCAGAGTTTTTCAGCCTCTGAACTTACACTGAACTGTGTGTCCTTGTCTCTGCTGGAGGTTGTCCTTGGTAAGAAAGGTCTGGAAGCTGTAAAACATACAAAACACACTGTCAACACAACACATCAACATGATTCATGAGTGCTTTCGAATACAAAGAAGAATTATATGTGATCATGTCAGAGAGCCCTCTTTTATTTGAGCTATACCTATATGTTCCTAAGCGATCTATAGGTGCATCTTTGAGTCATCTGTCTTTCTTCCGCCTCCTGTTAGAGACATGTTTCCTTTTTTTTTCTTTTTTTTTTAATTACAGCGTTACTTTGTTGTTTGTAAAGCAATAGTTGTGTTATGGATGATTTTTATACTGCTGGCTAGTCTCTCCCTCTCTTTTTCTCACTCTCTTATACACACAAATCAGCGATGAGTCACCATCATCGCACCATCACTCAGGCACACAAAAAACCTGTTCCACACTCACACATACACAAACATACACCTCCACAGTGCTGCAGTGTGCGCACACATACAGTGCCGGAGTGCAAGGAGAAGATAAAAACATACAGTACCAAGCGGCTCAGTCGTTAAAAACAACACAACACACTGTTTTATTAGGCAGGAAAAGAACAACAAAAACACGGACTTGACAGCTAGTTTAAAACCAAGGTAACATGATGGTAACAAATACAAATTCCCTTTTGTTTACTCTCATCCTCGTTCCACCTACAAAAGAATGAGGTAATTCTCAAGTACATCATTTATCTTCTTGTTACTAAATTACACATTTTACATGAGACCCAATGTGCACAATGCCTGGGATACTATCAATTCTCTGGTGACAGCGTTGACATAATCCATGTACTGAGCCCCAGAAAAGCTTCTTTGTGATCAGCATTATGTAACACTGGTTTGTTGCTACCACAGAGTGACTACCTATCAACCAGCAGATACCACGATGAGCAAATGCCCTCAAAATATATTTGTAATGCAAAGTGTGCAGGAAAATGTGCAAGTGTGCCTCTGCTTGCCTATTCTGCCACCCAATGGTCATCTAATGAAGTGCATGTAGATAATGTCTATAGCTGACACAGTACTATGAATTAGCTACTGTACTGTGTAAGAGTGTACTAATGTGTACTCATTCTGTATCTTAAATATTAAATGCTTACAGCAGTTTGTATACGTTCAGCAGTCGTTGAGACAGTACAGTTTTCTTTGTTGATTCAACCCTATGACAACTTTAAGGTGGAGGTGAAATATTGGATCGGACTTTAAATGGTACTCTATTCTCTACTTTTTGCATTAAAAATGGGAGAATTTTATCTTTCACTTGCTTGTGAAACTGTACACCGTTCAGAAGACATGTAACGCATTTTCACAGTGACACATTTGAAACCAATGAACAGGTTCAAGAAAGGAAGTATAGCTAATAAAAAGAGATACATTAGAGCCACCTTAAGGGGAAGGGATTAAATGGTGTTCAACTGTACATATTCTGCATGTATTAAAAGAGGGTAAGTGTGTTCTTCTGTTTACACATTCAGGATGTATGCACAGTTTCATAAAGTAAGGTTGGAAATAAACTCTATTTGGAACTAACACATATGTACACTCGATGGCAAGAAGTATTTTCACCTAGACTATAGCAACTCATTCCAAAAATATTAAAACAGTAAAAGGTTATAGTTAAGCATATTGGAAATATCCTTCATCACTTTTCTCTAAGACCGAATAGAGAATATAGAAACCACTCCTCTGTGTTTATTTTTTTAATGAAATGAGGCAACTATCAGCAGGATAGTGGAAACAGGGGAGAGCTAGCGGCCTTCTACAGCTGCCTTGTGACATATTTCAAAGTGCACTATGCAGATTTGGTAGGGAAATTTGAAAATCGGAGAAGTGAAACAATTCTATGCTATATTTTCTGAACTACATAAACGTTATTCAAAGGAAAAAATGGGTCCCTGGAACACTGTTTGGGGCTAAAAAGCTACCAGGAGAGTTACGGTTTCACTGTTGGCAGCCCACCACAATAACTTCTCACGTCTCAAAATTTTACTCTGAGGAGAGTTTGTGTATAGAGTTATGAACATATATCACATGATCTGTACACTTCCCAAACTTTCATATTTCTCTACCAAAACTCCACAGTGCACCTTTAAGGCTGACTGATAAAAAAAAAAAAAAGTTTTGATTGTTTTCAAGATGTTATGAACAAATTCTTAAAATAATACTGATTATAACCTAGTTAGATTGACTCAGTTAATATTTCTCATCATAACTATTTCAGTGTGTGAATGTGGATGATGCTGTAGGTAAGTAGAAGACTGTCGCCAATGGGTGTGGGGTCATGTGTAATACTGCGTATGCTACTTTTCAAAGTCATGATCAATTGTATGGAAAACGTGTCTAATAATATTTCTTTTTGAGTTTGTTCTTCATGATAAGCTATGACATATATATGCAGCACACACACACACACACACAGGTGTTACTGTTAAAGTCCACAATGTAATTCAGCTTCATTCATTTATTGACACCTGTGCTTTCTTCATTTGACATGTCAAATAAGGTCTACTTAGCCCCTAATTACCAGTGAGTCCAAAGAGTAGCTGAGGCGATCATATCTTGGTGATGGTAAGGGCTCAGTACACTTCTTTCTAATCGCCTGCTATACTGAACATTTTGTCTTTAGTCTTTAAGCACCTGTTCTCTTGATTCAAAGTCCCAATGAGACAAAGGGGTCGTTTCTGTGGACACTGTGTATATTAACATTGTTTTTTACAAGCCGCTGCTGCTAACATTTACTTACCACTGTTTTGTTTTGGAAGTGAGCTCCCGTCAGCATTCTCTCTTTGCTCGTACCGCTCCTTCTCCTTCTCGTGTTCCCTCAGTGCAGAGTGGTGAGGTTTAGGCTGGAAATATTCTTTCCGGTGGTAAAAACCCCGAGGAGGGTAGTGGTGGTATTTGTGGTTGTGGTAGCCATGTTTGTGGAATGAGTGGTCATCCCTTGGAAGACAGCATTGTTCGATTGAAGAGGGAAAACAGGATTTTATCAGAGTCACTATAAACATCATCTACAATATTTTGCAGGTAAATTACCTTGCACAAAAGTCAGACATATTAATGAATCGAAGAGAACAAATAGTTAGGAAAACATCAGCATAGTGCTCCTTGTTTCTACCTGTCATTCTTACCGAGGTCTGTTGAATCGCCCTCCAAACTTTGGTTTGTAAGAAGAACCGGACAGCCATGCCCTCGGTCTGGATGGGCTTCGTACTCTTCTGATCAGCCTCTTCTCTTCCTGAATCAAACAGGTGGAAAACCACTTTATCAAACTGTGTTACGTTACATATAAGCTGGGTGGAGGTGCCTATTGGAAAAAAAAAAAAAAATTTACCTGAGAGGGAGAAATTGAGCTATCAACGGGCCTCATGTCCACAGGTTCATCACTGTGTTCCCTCTGGCGCAGCATGGAGCTCTGAAGGAAGAATGCAAAGTGTTAATCCTGTTATTATGGTGTTACAGTGCAGGAGGTATATGGAAATATTCGGCCTGACACACTATTCTTGTTTATGAGAAAAATAATAGAATATATCTTCTCAAAAAAATCAATCATTTGTTTTTTTTATAGTTACTCTGAAGCAGAAAATGACAAATATTGAAGAATAAATAAATATGTCTGGTTTTGTAAGTCAGATTTAAAAAATTGTATTTCTATTTTTATTTGTTTTAATCTATTTATAGACTTAAGAAAAAATATTTTTTTATATTTTAAAAATGACAAATATTGAAGAATAAATAAATATGTCTGGTTTTGTAAGTCAGATTTAAAAAAAAAAAAAATCATCTATTTTTATTTGTTTTAATCTATTTATAGACTTAAGAAAAAATACATTTTTATATTTAAAAAAAATGAACAAAAAGTCAAAAAAAAAAAAACACATTATCAAAAAAACGTTTTGTTTGTTTGGTCATAGTTTCAAACTGTGCAGAATATAATATTATAATATTTTGTTATTATGTATGTTTGTGTGTTAAATGTGCATTTAAATCTCCTGGTATGTTAGTTTAATATGTTCTGTGATCTCTGTAAGTCATTTATTACGTTATGAGATAACAACATGGGTGGGTCATGTGGTTGTCAATCTGCAGGGGGGAAGGGGGGAGGAGGAGGAGGAGGAGGAGGAGGAGGCTGTGAGCACACGGCCCCTGCGAGACAACTGTCAGTGCTGTGGTGGCAGGCAGCCCTTTACGCCAATGAAACTCTTTTCCTTACCTTGCTTTGATGAGCGTCCTGCGGTGATGCATGATCCATTTCTATCTGTTCGCAGCGTCGTGCTATCTGTCTCGAGTGGCACGCGGACTTTTGTGTCTGTCTCGAGTCCAGCGGACCAGGAAGCGCGTGCGAACTCTCAGATTACCCCTCGTCGGTACATCTGGAAAGAGAAATGCTCGACTTTAAGTTTCCCCCCGCAGTTCTATTCCTCCACAGACTGCACCGTGACAAGTTTGAAAGGTTTCTTGCAGATAAATGTCAAACGTTGCCGAGCGACAGTCCTTTGCTCTCGCCGATTCACGCAGGACAAAATAACGCAACTAACTTTTGCTTCCCCTTTCTTCAGCCACCCAATCGGATGAGCCTACGGTCATAAAACTTATCGAAAACGAAAACAAAATCGGTTGTCCTCCAGACTCCAGACGGGCATGCGCAGTTCACAACATACAGCCTACTGTATTCTGCCACCTGTTTACACCTTTACACATTTGTTGAGAAGTTGGCTGCAGGACCAGTTCTTTTTTTTCTTCTTCTTTCTTTAACGAATGGTTGCGAAATTTAACGAGTTTGGCGTAAAGGGAGTTTTTCAAGATGTTTTTTTTTATGAACTAGAATTCAGATGTTAACTTTAAATTATAACATTATCCTGCAATACACTTTTTTTTTAATTTAGATTATTATTATTTTAATATCCATTTATCAGGGGATGTGTGCTTTGAAATGCATGTGTTAAGCATACAGGACTTTTAAGACAACAGGGGGGGGACAATTTGTCAGACAATAAAATACAAGACATGATGCAAACAAAGTATTTTGTTTGCACATCTATCCATCTGAAGTCTGAGATCACTTGTTGGGATGTTTCTATGGTTTACAATATTAAAGCAACACCACAAGAATTAAAATACACAAAAAAAAACTTGACAGTAAAGCTACAATAAACTAGCTCATCCCTGACAAGATAACCATTTAAATCTGGCCTTGAATCAGCATCAAGTGTTAAAAGATATAATGTAAATATGTGAAGGGAAGTGTCTGTGTGAGTATAGACAACTATTCAGTATGTTAAAAAAAGAAATCAGGGGCTCAATTCTGACATTGATTTAAAACAAATATGAAAAAAGGTACATGTATTGTTTCCCAGGTGTGCAGAATGACACAGTGTGTAAGAAAAGGTGAGGCCATCAAATCCTGACATCCCTCCAAGAGCTTTAGTGCTCCTCTCTCCACCCACTTTGTCTCCACCCATTACACGTCCTCTCTGGAGCGAGCAAAAGAGAGAGAGCTTAATTATAACCAGACAACTGTAGGATGGCTTGGAGCAGTATGGCCCTGGACTCTTTTTCTTCAGCTTTTTGCCAACTTTGACCAACAGAGCCTGGTTTGGAAAGGTAATCCTGCACAACGCATGATTCTAAAGCTGCGGGGACTGTGTTCTGTCTTCCTGTTGGTGTTTGTTGTTGAAAAACCTGTTGGAGCAGGTTTTAGTTCTTGTCGTGTCAGGACTACCATTTAGGCTGTGCAAGTGTTGGCCTGGTCTTGTTTGGTGTGCTTTCTACAATCAAAACAACACGGGAGAGGAAAAACTTAGTTTCTATGTTATTTTACAGACTTAGGATTTATGACTTAGGTTATGTTTACTTTCTTTCCTCTCAAAAACTGTGTTTTTGTTTATAAGGGAAAGGACAACAGGTAGCTTTTCAATGTATCAGATGATTTTTTTTATTTATTGATATTAACATCACCTTTTTTCAGAAGAACACCAAAATCATCTTTGAATAACTGTATACCTGAACTCCAGCCAAACTTGCATTAAAAGAAAAAACAAGTTTGACTGCAAAACAGACATGAGGTAAGGTACACATTGCTTATATTCTGAGTTACACTAATAGTATTGTATTTTTTTTTGTACTACAAAACTGGTGATTTGTAAGTTAGTCTTTCTATGTTTTCAAACTTCCTTATATCCCTATCTGTGGCACTGGACCCTGATGTCCGTACTGAATATGTTCCTCTTTAAAAACAGGTCCCATGTACATTCAGTTGCAAGTTGATACATAAAGCTAAAGCTTGAGCAGCATTGAAACAAAGTCCTGCATTAAAACAAATATTTATATAACTTATAGTGGTTATATTTTTACTGAAACTGGTTAAATACTTTTGGATTCACTACTTTGTGGTGACGTTGAACTGTATTGAGAATAGAACATTACTAAAAAGGCATCTCAAAAATCAAGATTAGAACTGACATGCACAGATATTTATTGAACTTAAGATGTTCCTCAAACTTTACAAAAATTTCAAGTCAAATAATTAGAGTGTCTAAATTAAAAGTTAATGAGCCAACATGTAAGCCAGGCCTACCCTGTGGCTCAATTGTGTGCTCAAGTAAAGTTTGGGAAACAGTTTGTAGAGGTTTAAGCCTAAAATAATTAAGGTAATCAAGGTCTGAATTCTCATTAGGGTCAATTAATCATTGTTTTTTTGTCTTTGCATTTGTTGACATTAAGAAATACCAGACCCATCCTCATTGTGTCTGTGCTTAGATGTTGTGAAAACAGTTCAATGTTATGCATTCATGTTACACAGGTTGCAAACTTTCTCAAGAGCGCAAATTCTACAAGAGTGTCAAATACGGTGCCAGGCACTCGCAGCCAATGACAACCGAGGCTTCAAACAGGAGTTTGAGGTAACTATAACGTTTGGAAATACACTTTGTTTTAGACTCATTGTTTGTAGTGCTAAACGTGTTTCTTATGTGTGCTTTGGATTTGTGAAGGACCTAAATGATGTTGGCAAAGACCTCCCAACCAGAGCAGGGGACCTGGAGGCCAACAGAGAGAAGAACAGATACCCCTACATATTACCATGTCAGTGCTAAAACTCATCATCATACTGGGGCAGATTACGACATGTATGTGTGTCACTGTCAATGTATGATGTGTCTGATTTCCTTTTCCTGATCACGTTTGGTTTAGATGACCACTGCCGAGTGAGGCTGTCTGTTCAAAACTCCAATCCACACACTGACTACATCAACGCTAATTTTGTTCCTGTAAGTTGAAACACACCTTTAATATTCATCACCTGCTTTACTGCCCCTGTGTCTGCGCGTGTTAATACCTGTGTGTCTGCACTTAGGGCGGAGGATCAGAAAGAGACTTTATCTGCACCCAGGGTCCTTTGCCCAACACCATGGCTGACTTCTGGAGGATGGTGTGGGAGCAAAACGTCAGAATAATTGTCATGGTGACATCGTTGAAACAGAAGGACACAGTGAGTAAGAAACACTCAGTTTGTGTGTTAGTGTGTGTGCCTACTTTGTGATAGTCTGTCTTTAACCTGATGCGTCTCTGTCCTTATCTTAAGTCATTTTTTTAGATCATTTTTTGAGGAGCTTAGAGTTAGAAAGGAGAATTAATACCACTATCATGTAGGTATTCTATGAATAAAGCTACAACCGTTAACCGGAGATCGTTAGCCTAGTTTAGCATATAACCTGTAAATAGTGGGGCAAACAGCTTATCTGAATTAAGACTACTACACCACAAAAAACTTGGAGCAGGAACCAAATTTAACATATGTGTTCATGTGAGTGTTAATGCCTTCTAGCATTTGTAGGAATTATGTGTCTTGTTCATCTCAAGCAAGGAACTATCTCAGGTTAGATTATTTCAATTTTCTCATTTAACAAGCTGCATGTTTTTCACCCTGACTTCAACGAGAATCTTTCCTGCCAGCCTCCCTAGTAAGAATTCTGCAAGAAGTCAAGTAAGCTGATGGGGGTGTGGGTGGAATATTTATACCCTGAGTACAGCAACTGACCATAGCAATGATAGGTGTGTAGCTCTTTCTTTTACGCGTATCATTATTATTAAGGCAAGAGCTGTCATCATAGCGTCAGACCCTGAGATCTCCAACTCCCCGACCGATGGAAAATTTTCCGCTGTGAGGGACATGTGTGAACAAGCAACTCAGGGAGAATCTCAGGAGTCAGCCTCTCGGAAATTTTTTAGGAGTGCATGTGTAAAATGTGTGGAAAAAAAGCTTTAGTCTATTTGAAAAGGCGAATATGAAGTACATAATATTAAATTCCCGTGTTTCTTTTTGTGCAGGTGCTGTGTGATAAATATTGGCCTGTGAATCGAGGGATAGTTTATCATGGATTGATCCAAGTGACAACAGTGACCCGCAAACAAGGTCCAGATTATTTTATCACCACCATTAACCTCAGACAGGTGAGCCAAACACACATCCCGCTGTCCTTTGGTAACTATAAACTACTGTTGTTGACTTCCCTGTGATCAATCAGATAAGAAGAACCATTGTGGTTGGATTAAAGGAAGCAGATTTTTCTTTCAGAGAGACTGTCCAACGGAGAGGATAATAACACACTACTACTATCCTACCTGGCCAGACCGGGGCGTCCCAAAAGACTCATCCTCCCTCTGTGCCTTCACTGAGCATGTGCGGCAGCATTTGCAAGCCATCCCACGCTTGGGGCCAGCTGTGGTGCACTGCAGGTGTGAACTCTGAACTCCCCGTCCTTCAGAGAGCACATTTTGTTTATGATGAAAGTGTGCCCCTTAAGTACTTTTTCTACAGTTTTCAGAGGTTTACCTATCAGACGTTGCATCTTTGTGTGTGTTTTAGTGCAGGTGTTGGACGTTCAGGGACATTTGTGACACTGTTGTGGCTGATGCAGCTCAGTGCGAGGGGCATCCAGCCTGATATCCGAGCTGCTGTGGAAGACCTACGGCTACATCGAATGTGGATGGTCCAGAATGTGGTCAGTCCAATACAGACACTCACATGCAGTGATGAAGGGAGTTTGAGATCTTAAATAAACTGTGAGGAGTTTAAAACTGGTCATGAAGCACTATAAATCTTAATACTGACAACTTCAGTGTGACCTGATCATCAACCATAAATTCCTTTTAATACCTGTCAGCTCTGTCACCACGACAGATTCCAACTAACCACATTATCGCTTGTAGACCGAGAAAGCATTTGTTAACAGTTTCCCAGCCAAGTATCAGTGAGAAGTATGTCAGCTTGTCAAACAGAGACAGGAGGAGGTTTTTACTTCAACACATTCAGGAAAGGATCAGAAAAGAGAAAGTATAACTCATTTCGGGCAGCAGGGACGGCAAACATGGACAGAAATGGAAGCTCCTTATAGTTGCCTTGTGTTGAATTGGAAATATTCCTAAAAGAAAATCCTGCGTAAAAATCAAAGTACACAATTATTAGCAGCATAAAATTCTTGAAAAGAAAGCCGGATTTAGTTTGACATTTGACGCATACTGGCTTTCATTGCAGACATATTTTTTTTGTTAAGAAAGCTACAGCTAGTTAGATTAGCTAGTCATTAACACAGAAACAAACGGCAAGAAATAGCTTGTCCTGATGCTAACGTCAGCTGATGAAAGTAGCTTCTTATTTAGGATAATAGATATACGACTGTGTATGACCAATGTGTTATCTTTGTTCAAAAGTATCAGATTTGACCAATATCAAACTGTAACTCTAATATAGGGGATGGGTCAGTTATGGGTCAAACTTGTACGATTATTCTGTGACATAGTTGCTGAGGTTTTGTATTTACCTGAAATCCACTGATTGGTATTTTAGTGTTTACTTACTCATGAATTTATCATCTCAGCACTCACAAACAATGTGTGCCAACATTTCATATTCAAGATGAAGCGCCCTCATTATTTGCGCCTTCCTTTGTGTGTAAACAGGAGCAGTACATATTTGTTCATCAGTGTCTGCTACACTGGCTCAGTGGAGGAACCTCCGCAAGGTGAGAAAACCGAACTGAGCTCCCAGTGAGCACAAACACATAGCACAGCTCAGATATTGTGTATTAATCGTCTTGGTTTAAATTCATTGTCTCATGTTTCTTGTCAGCACACAAACTCAGGGAGCCAGTTCAAATATTAACCACCCCAGTCAGGAGCGACTCCACAGCTCCTCAGGACGGGGTGATCGAGCAGGAAGGAGGAGACATCACCATCACCGGCAGATGCCCCCGTCAGACCAGCCCCAGAATACAATGCAGCAGATTCTCCATCCTGGGAACCTACTCAGGAGGTTACTGCCGTCGTCAGTGTTTAATCCTGGATCACATAACTCTTGAATATGAAAATTTTAAAACATGACAATGGGTTAAAAAACAAAGCAAAAAAAATCCCCTGGTCTCATACCTGCTCCTGGGATGTAAGTAAAAGAAAAGCTGCAGAAAAAAATGCAGTGTGCGCAGGCCCCGCAGGCAGAAAACTAGCCGGACAACTTGCAAATCCACAGACGCAGCACTTCATATTGTTACCAGAGGGAAAGATTGAGTAAAGAACCTCCCAGTCAGGTCAGACCTGTTCCTCTGTTGTGAATCACTTACCCGGAGTTTCGTGGGAACAATGAAGCCGCCACCTTTACATAAAGTGAAATACTGATAAAGCACACATGTTGGACAGGTCCCTTTAAATAGAACACTTTTCCTTTGTTAAAGATAAACCATTGAGTTTGTATAAATAACTCTTTGTGGCTTCGTTTGCCTCCACTACCAGTGACGTGATGTTGTGAGATGACTTTTATTCTGCTTCTCTGGAAAAAAAACTCACTACGCATCATTTTATACGACACAATGCAGGCTATCAGTACGTGAAGATGCATGTGCAGAGCTGACAGCAGAGATGCTAGAAAGGCAGACACGTGGTGTAGTGGCTGTACAAAAAAGGTCATGTTTCAAAAACACAGGCACTGCCATTCTCCTTGGATGACTGAAACCCATTACAGTACATGAAGGAGCTATGAGTATTTTACATTATAGAACATTAAGGGCCAACTCACTCCTTTTTTTTTTTTTTTTTTTAAGAGTCTTTCTTCTGTCATGTAATAAACATGTATGTTACAATAGATCCCTCGTCGGGTGAGTTTTGGGGTCGGTGATGGTCAAAGAAAAAAAAAAAAAAAAAGGATCCAGCAGCGGTCGTCCTCTTTCTACATCTGCTCGTCTTCATTGTGTTAGCAAGTGCTAGTGGCCACATGTTTTGTGATGATGCTGTATTGCAATTAAGTCTTTGTCCTGATGTGGTTTAATGCTGCCGGGCCAGTCCAACAGGGGGTGCTACCGCCCAAGCAGCATTCACTAACTAAACAAGAGATCGCTGTTGGATTTCTGCTAAAGACAGACAAGAGTGACGTTCAAAGAAGCAGGTAAAACACACGTGTTGAAAATGAGCTTTTAGCCTATTTCTGGCTACATAATACAGTCTTGATACCACTGTGGTATTCGATCTGAGACTCAACAGTGAGAAAGGCAGATGAGGGAAAGAAGAGCATTGTCTAGGAAAAGCAGCACAGTGCAGGCCAACCCCAGTGAAAATATATAAATGAAATATATTACAGATTAAAACTAAACAAGGACAGACAATGAACTACTGTTCCAGACAATCAGTGAGGGGAACCAACAGTTAAAAATGATTTAAATTAGAGTTCAGGTCAGGTCCAATAAAAATGATTAGACACCACATCCTTTGGCAAAACAAAAAGGAAAAAAAAAACGGTGGTAACGGTAGACAGATTGCCTCATTAAGACAAACTGATATCTGTATCGGTTGAATGTGTATGTACAGTCCATGTGTAAGATATGCTGACATATAATGAATATAAACATATACATACCACCCTTAAAGACCACAGGAGGGTGTGAGAGAATAGAAAACCACTGATAATGAGCAATCAAAGGCAGGGTGAAAAGAGAGAGGAAAAGTCTAGTCCTTTCATTGTTCTCCTTTCTGACTAGTGCACGCTCTCCGACATGTTAATTACTTCCTGGATTTCACGGACGACGAGGATGCGTGCGAGCATCTGCTCCAGCTGTTCTTTTGGGATGGGTTGCGTGGAGTACCAGATGGGGCTGTTCGGAGCCACCACGGGCTCAGGAGTCAGGTAGAAGGTGTCGTTGCGACCTTTGGCGCTCTGCGGACTGACAGAGGAGCAGAGAGCAAAGTGTGAGCACATTTCAGGAGATATTTATTTAACACATGTCAAAGTTACAGCTTTGACCTATGTCTGCCCATGAAATTATTTAAATTAAAAATGTATTTCTATGATCAAGGAAGAGGAATACAAGGTTTACGCCGTGATAAAAGTGTGTTTTACAATCTTCCACTCTTCTTCTAGTTTTGGCCATTGAACTTTTGTCCTCTTGACATCAATCATTAATTATTTTAGGTTCATTCAAAAGACATTTTTAAGAGATGAGACCAGCCTAATTAGTTTAGATAAAACACAGAATCCAAATCCATTCATTCAGCCAAGTCATGTATGCCTTTATGACTTTCTCTGATTTTTATACTACATGATAGTATCTAGAATGATCTGTACATCTGATCCCCATTATCTCTCACACCCATAAACAATCAGGCACAGAATACAATGGACATACAAAGCTCTGTCTGCAGGGATCACTGCTGTATGTTAAAAAGATATTCATTATGCACTATGAAATTGAAACGCAATTTCAAGAATAAAATCGAAATGACAAAAAATTCTATTTGAACTCTATTCTCGACATTTCGACTTTTTTCAAGAAGTGCATCATGGGAAAAAAATCTTCCTCCTATCATTATTTCTCATGGCTGGCCCTAATCCTCCTCCGTAGATATCTCCATTATGAAATGAAAAATAACTAGATGATGAATGGACGATCAAAAGAGTTGATACAGTATATCCTGTGCTGTCCGTTTCACAAATCGTGAAGGACAGTGACATAATAGACACTCCTTTATCCACATGCATATTTTAAACAGGTAGAAAATATAAGGAATTCACTGTTATCATACAGAATTTATGTTTTTTGTCTGTTGCCTAGCAACAATGTTCTGACTAGTTTAACCAATGTATAACCCTGACCGTCAAAGGAAAAAGGCGACGTGATTAAGCTGATACTGTATCTGAAAATTATTTTCATATGTCATTATTTCTGATTATTTAATTATGTATTGAGGAATACCAGCTTACTTAGGTATCTAAGAAGTTCCTATATAAACACTTAATGTTCACTTATTTCCTTGTTATCCTTATTCTAGGTTTATATATTTACCATTTGAAGAGGTAGAAATCATAGAGTTTGATTGGACATCGTAGCGGGTTCTCTGGGTCCTCCAGCTGCTCTGAGTACATGTCATCTGTTACTGAAAAAAGACAAATACAAATAAAGTGTTCAAATTCCCACTTTACCTTAAACAAGCCTTACCTTTCATACAGCAGAACACAAGTTACATTCATGTGCACTCGAACCTTTTTGTCCTATGAACCTCTCTGTTGACTTCAGGTACCGGATGCTGGTGCTTTTGTCTTTGGGGTTGTTGGGACTTTTCCTGGTGTGTCTCAGAACCTTAGAGAAGGCCACTTTTAGATGCTGGTCCACTGTCTTCAGCTGAAAATACCTGTTTAAATAAAAGAGATGTGCATAAACTGATTTGGTCCATTTGTGATCAAATGAAGGTGCCTGTAATCAAAATGAAATATGGGTTTACAAAGAGGTAGAGAATATAGTGGTATCCTGATTAAGTGGTACTGTAGAGGGAAATCATTAGTGTGTAATTGCTGAAGTTTAACAATGCCCAAAGTAAATAAGTGAAACTCACTTTGTGTTAAAAAACATTAGAGTTGTGAGCAGTGTGGAGGGAGAGTGGGCTCCCAGCTGTTTACATTCCCACAGCATCTCCTCTGTCACATGGCTGGGGATAACGTAACCTGGAGGGAGAGGTAAAGAGCAGACTATAAACAGCAGGCAGTATATAATCTATGATGAGTGACACATTTGTTATAAATATCAAGAAAACAAAAGCAAAACTGAAGGCAAAAGAACCATGATGAAGGTTGAAGCAACAGATCAAAATCATCTATCAACCAAACTAAAGCTTAAAACTTGAACCTGGAGTCCCTCTCAAATCTGAAGAAGTTACAAGTTTCCTTTTCTTCTACCATATTTTATAGGCTTTATTGGCTTAATTTAAAGCTATTTCTCTGAAACATTTAAGATACATCCACAGCTTTTGTGACTGATGCAATCATTCTCCTGTTATCAATATGTAGGATTAATTGCAATGAAATAATTGCAAAGCCAGTAATAAAATTTGATTACGTTTTTAATGGATTTAATCAACTGACAGCACTAATTTGAAGGTTTTCACATAAATAACAAAGCTGTAAAAAAAACTTGCCATTGTTATTTAACAAAAAGTTTCAAGATGCCCTAGTGCTTAGGTTGTACCCCAAAAAATGAAGCAAAAAAGCCCCAAAATAAATATAAAAAAGGGAAACAAAAGAAAGCTTCAAGCTATCATAGGAAACCACAGAAAATCTGTGCAGGCAACCGGCTTTTAATGTGGAATTTTCAAACTATTTAAAATAATTGAATATGAGCCTGCGTTGGGCTACATTGGCACACTGCAGCTGAATAATTGAGCTAAATGTGAATATTAGATTGGCTTTAGATGGGGGGTAGAATATTAACTCCTAACCACCTTATTTGATTACAGAGAAACACACAATTCAGGTCCATTCTAGGTTTGATAAAACAACCATAGTCCTCACCAAGTGGATGAATAGAAGGTCTCCAAGGATCCAAGATCTGGTGCAGACTGTGAGCAAAGCGTGTATAGTACTGATCCGAGAACACATCATCCACACGACCGTTGTCAAACAGATACTGCAGGGGTGAAATGCAGAAAGAAAGATGACGTCAAAAAGTGTTCCTACATCAAAATCAGGCACCAACAGAGGTGGAATGGATGATGAACACAGAGTGTGTGTGAACTTACTTTTTGTATGCACAGAAATACATAGTAAAGAACATCAGCCTCATATGACTCCCCTTCCAGCCCTCTAGATTCTGTTGTCATCAAAGAGAGCCCAATGCAGAGCTCAGCTACAGCACATGACACCAAGTCCTCCTGGAAGCGTAATGCCTGGCGCCCTGGGACACACACAAAACACAAACTCATTCATAATATGACTTGATATATAGACATATTGTGTATTGTCATTATCTCTACACTCCCAAAACACATCAACAATAAAATATTACCAAGTACTATAATTAACATTGTATCAGTGCACTTACGGCCAATGGGTGCTAATTTATTCTTGTCTAATTTGTCCATCTCTGCATTTTTCCGCTGAGCCCAAAGCCGCCACACATCTAGCCCCTCCTCCGGCTTCAGAGTGGCAGGCAACAGCAGCTCCTGCACCTGCACTTGCACTTGCTGCTGGCCTTGACCATCTACCTCTGCTACCACTGTCTGACCCTGCACAGACACAAATACAGTTACCTCATGCAACATGAAATCTTTACTCTTCATGTTTATCCTGCAGCCGTAAGGACACCATCTGTGATAATACCTGCAGTTGTTGTGTGTCCTGCGCTGATAGCCCCTGTGTGTGCAGCACCTGCTGCTGTGGATCCCAGATAAGAGACTGTGTAGCGTTGGAGTAGCCCTGTACTGCCACTGGGATGTGGATGTTTCCATTCATCAGCTGGGCAGGGAAAAGTGTGTTTGCAGCCAGCGTGTGCACCACTTCCTCCTGGCCTCCCATTCCTCCAGAGCTTGTAATGCTGGAGACAGCCTGCGCTGTCTGACTCTGGCTGGCAGGGTTTTTCAGCTTATCGTTTTCAATAGTGACTTGTGTTGGCATTGTGGTCATTGTCGTAGTGTTTGCACCCGACACCTGTACTGTGCCGTAGGCTCCTGAGGGATGGCAATGTGTGTGACCTGCTCGCGGCCTCCAGAACCAGCAGGAGCAGAATAGACGGGGATTGTCCAGGTCTCCCCTGTGGGACTTGTGATGGTGCCCGTAGCACTGTACAGGTGGGAGCTGTCCACAGTTAGCAGGTCTGGCCGCAGGGACACGTAACTTTGCTGCTGGCCCTGTCCTTGTGGGATAGCTAGTACTGTTGCCACCTGCTGACCAGGCAGGGCATAGGACACGGTGATGGGCATGTCGACCTTACGCTTCTTGGCTGGCTGGAGGACACCTGCTCCCTGGGATGTTGCAATGGTTGTTCCCAGTACCCGCCTCTCAGTGTTGTCCTGCTGCTGGGTGGGAGAGAGGGCACCCACTGTCTGGATTTGGATCTGTTGTCCTCCTGCAACAGCTGCCACCAACTGGGCTTGCAGCTTTAATACATGGGGAGATAATAAGTAAGTAAATTCGATCTCTGTCTGATGACAAAATGAGAGATTTACCATGATTTTATTCAGGTGTGTACCTGTTGGTGTTGCTCCTCCGTGAGTTCCCCAGGCTGAATCAGCTGTGCAGTGGTCAATCCTTGAAGCTGTTGATGGGAGCCAGAGGGCACTTGGAGCACCTGACTCAGCATCTGACCTTGCTGCTGACCCTGGATTTGCACCTTTAAATGGAAGTTAGTAAATACTTTAGTTGAAGGTAGCATTAGTACCTAAAGAAAGAAACTCTAGGCATGACTTGCAAACCTTAACCCTTCCCAAAAGTGAAAAACTGTACATGCTTGCACAAAGCCTTGTTTTAACTTTCTAAATGTCATCTGCAAATAATAGTTTATCTAAAATGTTAAAATATATTTAATAAAATAGAGAACATTGCTTTATGATAAATACAACGCAGAAACAGTAGAGAGAAGTACAAACCTGCACTATCTGTTGCTCCGTAGTCTGTTGTACAGTTTGCTGCTGAGATGTTGACTCCTGTATCTGTTGCGGCTGGACCTGCACCTGAACCTGCATCAAGAAGACAGTGCTTGTCAGACAGCTTCATTTTGAAATACCTCTTTTACAGATTGTTTTGTAACAGTTCGGAGTATCAACCTACCGGACAAGCCAGTTCCAACAATGATCCTGCCACCTCTGTGCTGTCTGTGTAGATGCAGTTAGCCTCCTGTTGATAGACCATTGTAGTAGTGGTAGTTGTAGCATCTCCGCTCTGCTGGCTGAACTCCTGCAGGGCATCTGGACCCTTGTTGGCCAAGGATTCAAGGAACTCCTTCATGCGATGCTGAGGGATGCTCCTAGCTTTCTGCCTCACAAGCTCCTCATAGGAGCCTGTACCATCCAGGGAGTTATTCATTGCTGCCAACGGGATCTTCCTCAGTGTGAGGGATCTGAGGAATTGCGGGATAATTAGTTGTATATTTGGGAACTTTCATGTTTCAGACAATAACAATTCACCACCATTAATAGCATTTCTTACAGAAGGCCATAACTCTGTACAACAGCTCACCTCACGCGAGCAGAGAACTGTCATCATGATAATATCTGTCTCTCCATACTGTAATCTGTTCTGCACATAAATTTACAAATTATCCCTGCACTCATCTTCACTTCATTTGGCTGTCTACTCGCCGTTATATTGTATAGTTTCTGCTTATTATATGTCTACACTCATGCACTTTAACTTATGTGAATACTGTCCTTTTACAACTCTGTTTTTGCACATCTACATTTAATCTTCCACATTTAATCTTCCATATTTAATTTACAACTCTGTTTTTGCACATTTACATTCAATCTTTCATATTTACTTTACAACCATTTATGACTCTGTTTTTGCACATTTACATTTAATCTTCCTATTTAAGACTAGTAATGCTTAGTTAAATCCTGGTTGTATATATTCACATTCTGATTTTTTTAATACTTAGTTAATATTTACTTTAGTAGTTAATATTATATGTTTTTTTTTTTTACTCATATTGTGTGTTTGGATAACCTGCTGCTGTATTTCCCAGACACACACACACACACACACACACACACACACACACACACACACACACACACACACACACACACAGAGAGAGAGATGGGAACATGAAGGGTTAAATCTGTCTGAGTGTACGAGCGGGGACAAAAGCGCGGCCACTTTCCAAATCCGATGCAGTATTCAAAGCTGTGACGGAAACTGCTGCATAATGAAAACAAGCAAGTTTTACACAATGGGTCACGATGGTGTGTGCGGTGCAGTGGATCTACAACACCTAATCTAACAGCTGATTACACAACACGCTAGGTTAGCCAGGTGCATCGCTAACTAGCCGCGTGTTGTTTGCAAACACGACTCAGCCCGCTGTTTTTGTTTAACAAAGTACAACAACTAGATCATGCGCAGATAAGAATGGCATTTGTGAGTACACACAAAGCGATATAATCCTGTCTGCTGTCGATGACGCTAAACATACTACATTTTCTGTCATCTCAGAAGCTAAGCATGCTAACATTAGCTACCCCTCTTCCACAACCGGGCCGAGCTACGAACCACCGCAAGCGCGTTTCTACCCTCAAAACGTGGCCTCTGACGGGCTACTGACCTTTCTATCTGGCGGGTTGATTCTTTATTTTGTGTTTTGTTCTCCAAGTGGCAAGCTATTTAGTTTTTCTTTTCCCTTAAACAATCATTTTTCGCTGGGCGCCATCTTACAACAGTGACTCCGGACCAATCAGAAAGCGATTTGTAACTTTGTCTTGTTGTCGCGATATTTCCACCACATGATGTCGCGATATCTGGCAGTTGTAGGCTAGTCCTTTAAAGGAGTCACACACACAAGCAAAACAGCCGACAAAGATTGAGCAGATGTCAGTCCACCTTAAAACCCAGTTATGCCAGGCAGACGCTCCTAAGTGGTTCACTGGCTTCTGGATCTTTTAAGGTGGTCCCAAAGAGATGAGCTGAATATTTGAGTGGTGCTGTGGATGTTCCGGGCAAGTGAGGGTTAATTCCCACGCAAACTACTTCAGCGTGGTGTGAACATGGATTTCATCTCACTGCTTTCTGTTTGGACGAAAATCTGCTTTAACATTGACTTGAAAAAACTGGAGAAGACCACCATGTGTGTTTAAATTCATACTATATTCTTCTTCCTTTATCTTTGATGCATTATTCTATTCATTATTTTTTTTGGATTTCCCATGTAGTCTGTCTGATTTATGAATGGATGCATGTCTGCTTATTGTTTCCTTAAAAATCCAAGACAGTTCACTTCAGACTATCATCTATAGCAGGGGTGGGCAACTGGCGGCCCAGGGGCCACATGTGGCCCCCCATCAACCCTCAACGTGGTCCTCAGGTCAATTTTTACACATCAATTAATCGGGAACATGAAGAAAACATGATTAAATCTGCCATGAAATCATGAAAACCAGAAATATGTCCATAATAATATTTGATCACTAGTATATGTCGAGTTAAATTGGAGACAAAATTGACTGTAATCGTTTTTGTATGCTACAATTTTGCCCCCTGGCAGTGAGAATTAAATTAATGTGACCCTTGCTGTGACCAAAGTTGCCCATCCCACATTTAAGTCCTCTTGTGTATGCATCATTTAATGCATATCATTTTTTACTTGTTGCTTTTGCTGTCAATATTTGCCTTATTGCACAACTGCCACTTACTTTATTTAGAAATTATTTAATCAGGAAACTCTTATTGAGATTTAGAATTTAATTTACAAAGGGTCCTGGTCAAGACAGGAAGCAACATCCAGGAACCTAGAAAAATATATTCTTACCATGATTATTAGCTGGTGTTTGATCTTATCTTGTCTTATTGGCTGTAGTATAGTAAAGGAATATCCCTCTGTTGTCTACATTTATTACATTTTTTGTGAAATCCAATCTCAACCAGTTATATTATCAAATCAATAAATGCCGCCTGCCTCTAGATTGAATACTGTAATTACACAATTATACTCAGGACAGAGAAATCATCATATAACATCAAATATTTCAAAGTGTTCATATATAATATATAGATTGTAAAAACAAATGGGATCTTGTAAATACAGACACATTGCTATTCTTTAAATATTATTTATTCTGAACTCCTGTCAAAAGGACAGATGGTAATCCCTCTTGAGTATTAAAAACACAGAATGGTTTGGCAGTGTCTCACCACCTTTTCAAAAAAGCCATGTATGGCATTTGAGAGCATCTCCTCTGTGTAAGATCAGCCTGGAGTCAATATTAAATCCTGTATGTTAATATCAAATGAACATACAGGACATCTTTGTTGAACAATGATGTCCAAGGTTGTATATATTCAACAAAGAAGAAACAAGGCAAGTGAATGTAACTGCAGAAAGACTCAAACAGACTCTGACACTGACTGACCAAATTTAAGATTGAGCAAAGTGATACATTCAACATGTAATTATTACAGGAACTGATCCATCCCAATCTCAAACATAGAAGTCTGTGTGCCTGCTGATATTACACATAAAGTGATGCAAATAATTTGGACATGTATCTGTGGGCTCATGGGAAGCAAGAAGTGCAGCTTGATCTCAGCTCATCAGATCTTCCCGGGGTCTTCTTTGAGGGTGACTGTTCTGTTGAAGACAAGCTGCAACAGAAGGAAGGCAAAAGGTATACCATACATCGTTAGCAATATGTTTTTAAACTCGTTTCTAAATAACCTCTGAAGGAGCTTTCAATAATGATAACAGTTTCAAAGATGTGTTCTCTTACTGTACCTTGTCTGAAGTGCTGTCAGGGTCCAGGGAGAAGTAGCCAACTCTCTCAAACTGGAATTTGTCAAACACTTCAGCTCCTTTGACCGAGGTATCCACTAAGGCACTGCTGATGGTATGCAGGGAATTCTAAAAGACGAAACGAACAACAATCACTTCACACGCTAATGGATGTCAGTTAATCCACACAGACCTTTATAACAGTGGTGCAAAGTAACTTACAGGGTTTATGTCAGTCAGGAAGCCACTGGGCACTTCAGATGGATCTTCTGGATGTTTGTGCAGGAATCTACAAAAACAGCGAGAATGTATTTAAAGTCATTTTTCTACACACAGATTACGGTTGAGAAAGGATAGTTCAGTAATTGTTCTTGACTTACAGTCTTTCATAGAGACGCACTTCACACACCAGCGGCTGGCTGACCCAATGGATGAAGGCCTTCGGTTTCTCCGCAGCGTCAGAGCTGCAGCAGGTCACCTCCAGTTCAACCACTTTGCCCTGAGCGTCCTGCGAGACAAAGGGGACATTAGCAGGATGTGTAAAATGAAATAATAAAATACAATACTTCAGAAGCTCCAAGGGAACTGCTAAACAGTATATGGAAAGAGAATATGTGGAGCATTGACTGAATGAAGGAGCGGTTTCGACTGTTGCTTTAGCAGTTTATCGCCTGTAAATCCTTCCAACCCATTATTCTGTCCCGTCTGCTTTTGAGTAGATTTCAAGGCACATCTGATCTAAACACCCAGGGTCTTACCTTGATGACTTTCTGGACAGAGATGACATATCCGGCATGCCTCAGACCGACAGACTGATCCGGTGTCAGTCGCTTGTAGCCCTTCTCCATCACCTGCAAAATATGTACATGATCATCCCCTGTCCACAAATAAAGAAATATATATATACGGGTGGAAGTTTTGTTTCTGTCATTTACCTCTCTGAAATCACTCTGTTCAATGAAGATTGTCCGTGTGAATGGAACCGTGTGACTGCCCCTTGACTCATTGGCAGGGAAGTCTGGTACCCGTACATCTGACTGGGACAGAAGAGGATGACAGAAGGAAGATGTTATAACCCTGATGTTACTTGTGGTGAAGAAGACAGAATAAACTTCTTATTACAAGTAATTAAAGGGCGGTTTGGCGTGTTATTCTTGAAGTCATACACGAACCCGTGAGTTTTCAGGAAGGTTAGTTATGGTGACTTTGAGTGGCTCCAGCACAGCCATGGCTCTGGCGGCAGTTTCGTTCAGCACGTCCCTCACACATGACTCCAGAAGGTGGGGCTCTGTTGTCGTCTGAGACACCGTGACTCCGACCTACCAGCATATATAGAACATAGTAAGTGCTGTAATATAATACAGCACCTGTCTTAATACATGTAACGACCCATCGTTTCTGCATACCCGCGCACAGAAGTTGTTGATGGCCTCAGGTGGGAAACCTCTTCTCCTCAGTGCAGTCAGAGTGAAGAGTCTGGGGTCATCCCAGTCTCTGTAATCAGAACAGAATACTTTTAACTGTTCCTCCATTCTTCACAAATGTTTGAAGTGATGTGCAAATGCTTCCAGGATTTGATGAATCTTTTTATTACCTTCATTACAAGAAAAATTGTTACCATATGTAAATCAAAAAAAGAGCTAAAGAATAACTTGTGTTTTACCTGACAGCGCCAGCCTCTACCAGTTTGATGATTTTCCTCTTGGACACGACAGTGTAGGTGAGGTTCAAACGCCCGTACTCCCACTGCACGGGGCAGTACACATCCAGAGCATTACACAGCCAGAAATATGATGAACGCCTGTCACACAAGAAGAAAAATGATAAGAAAAGGAGACCAGCAACAAGAAAATATAAAATAAATGATATATACCTGGCCTGGAATTCTTTGGTACAGAGTGAGTGTGTGATGTTTTCAATAGAGTCACACAGACAGTGGGTGTAGTCGTAGGTAGGGTAGATGCACCTGCAGAGATAGGCACGTCATAATATTTGTCATAAAAGCATACTGAATGAAATGGTGTAAAAAAAAATAAAAAAAAAAGCATAAAAAATCTGGTTTGATACCATTCATCTCCTGTCCGATGGTGTGGCGTGTATTTAATTCTGTACGCCACAGGGTCCATCTTCCCGTCTTCCATGACCATCTTCATCCTGAGCGTAGCCTCTCCCTCCGCAAACATGCCCTTCTTCATCCGCTCAAACAACACCAGAGACTCCTCATGGGTCTGTCTCTCCACGGGGATGGAGGGGAGTTGTAGCCCTTCAGTTCCTCCCCCTTCTGGTGGCACACATATGCATGTCCCCTGAAGGACAACAAAAAAATAACAATTAAACACCATCAGGCTTATATGCACAGAGAACAACCAGTACACAGAGTTCCCAATGATCACCTTCGAATGAGATCCACGGCAAGATCATAGAGTCGCTGGAAGTTGTCTGATGCGTGCGTGATAGCGTGAGGTTCATAGCCTGCGGTAAGTCGGACATATTGATGAGAAACTATCGTCATGAAGGAATCAAAAAGGTGTGAGAACATTCGAGTGATCCTCACCAAGCCACTCCACCATGTCTTTGATAGCGGTGAAGTATTTCTCCTCCTCTTTCTCTGGATTTGTGTCATCGTACCTCAAGAAACAAATCCCGTTGTTTGCCTACAGGAAGAGACAACGTTTGTAATAAACAGCAACACAAAGAGAGGAGTGACGGGGGACAAGAGGACAACTTGTACCTTTGCATAGCCAAAGTTGAAGTTGATAGCTTTGGCATGTCCGATGTGAAGGATACCGTTGGGCTCAGGAGGGAAACGAGTATGTATCTAAAGGAGAAAATAAACGATACATTTCATCATCTGCAAGCGATCTTGTTTATTCTCAAAACCTAAAGTAACAAATTAAGTGCAGTACCTGTCCACCAGTGATCTCCAGGTGCTTTTTGAGCAAGTTCATTGTGTTTGGTGTGACCACATAACCCTCAGTTTTATAATTCTCTCCTGTAATGCAAGGTTGGAA